CCGATTTTTCCTTCAGGTGTTTCTTGGAGGCTGTCTGGGCGTGCGATCGGAGATGATTTGTTGCCTCTTTTAGCGATGGCCCTCGCCCAGAGAAATACAATCTACCTTTTGCCAAGGTCGTCCGCCGTCTCCTCCCCATCTCTAATGAGATGACTTGCGCCGCTGCCATACCAGACTGACGCGAAAGGGGAGGAGGCGTCAAGGCCGCGCGTGGAAATCACACAGCGTTCCAACGGCAAGTTGTCCGGGGAAACGCCTTCGTTTGTGCACGGGGAGGGAAGACATTTTGCCATGGGGAGAGTGAGAAGCGAGGGCTGCTGCCTGCTGCTGTCATTCTTTTTCAGCCGAGTAAATTTGCCATTTTGAGGGCTTTCGCATCATCATCGGAAGGAAAAAAAAATGTCAGCTTCATTGATAAGGCGACACCCATCACTTGGCTGTTTTCTTGAGAAAATTCTCACTCGCAACATGACAGAAGGCATGTCTCGCATGAGGAGACCCACAAAGTAGGTCTCATGGAGCCACTGTTGAAAAGAAACGGGGAGCCAGACATTTGAGTTTGCGGAGGCCATTTGGGCCAAGACATTTGGCCCAATTGTCAAAAATTTGACAAATCTGCAGTCAGGTTGTTTTTGAAAATTCAGCCTCCAATGCCAGTTTCGCTTATGAACACATTTGGTGGGCATGTCTATCATGAGCAGATCCACGAAAAAAGCGACAAAAAACAGTGGCCAAAAAGGCACAGGAAGTCTGACGTTTTGGTCGGAAGCGGCCATTTTGGGGTGATTTGGGCCATTTCCACAGGGCCTATCAAGACAAACTCGTCCTTTCGATTTTGTCCAAATGCTTGCAAAGGTGAACAGCCGAAACCTGCTCCACTTGGGAGCATGACCTTTGCCAGGCACGTCTCTCACAAGTAGACCCATAAAGAAGTTTGAAAAACCCATGCGAGAAAAGCAACTGCTTCCAAAGCAGTCATTTGCGGCAGTTCCGGAACTGAGTGACCGAGAACCGCTATGAAATTTGAGCCACGTGTACCAGACACGATATTCAATCGCAAGGAATTTGACTTTCGATGACTGCACGTGACCAAAACATGGCACCACACTTTGCCGAATCATGAAAAGGAAGTCATAAAAGCAAATCCTGGCCCACGTCTGGTCCAGAGCCAAAATCTTCACGCTTTGGTGGTCAAAACTTCAAACTTGTCTCTCTTTGAGGAGCCATCTTTTTTTTTTTTTCTTTTATATATGTACAGAGCAGCTCAGGCAAATTTGTTGTCTCCGGCGGTTGGCAGTGAGCACGCAATCCCCAAGGTGCTTTTGAGCAGATAAGCGGCAAGTCAAAGGAATTGTCTGTGATGGGCCTCTTTCATTGCTCATTTGTAACGTTTTGCAGGTGACTCAGTGGGGAAGCCGCGGGCCATTCCTGGCCCCAGTCCATCCGTTTATTCCGTGTCCAAATACTCGGTTTGAAAGATGTCTCGACTCAAATCGCCGTTAGTGGAGCTTTGAAAGTCTTGGAAGTTTGAAGCCAGGCAAATCTGCTTTTTAATGGACTCTTTTTACGACTTGCCTGACAGAAGAGGACCCGCGACAAGGGATGGGGGTGGGGGGGGATCTCTTCGGGGAGGGGTTTTCGGTGATCACAAAACGGAGCTGCCATGCTTCACTCACTCACGCACCATTTAAGTTGGTCTTGGTGGAGTTCCTCAACTCACTTCAGCACTGAGATGCCGTCAGATGGCCCCCAAGCAATCATTTGACTGCAACAGTCCGGGAATCGAGGGGGCTCTGTCGCCAATTACGCTCCGCAACTGTAATGCGAGTCCTGGAGCGTATTTATTCGATGAAGCAAAGAAAGATTTTTTTTTTCCTTATTTCTGCTCTCACTTTCATGTTGCAATGTATTTCATGAGCCCCCGCCCGCTTCCTCAAATGTCTTCATCTTTTGTTTGCTTGTGTCGGAACAAGAGCATCTTTGTTTTTTTGCCCTTCTGTTGCCCGTTTGAGCAAGAATGGAACGAAAACCATTTAATCGTCTTAGTTGCTAAGGGAATGCGGGCTCCTTTTCCTTCAGCCCCAAGGAGGCCCGGGTTTTGTGCC